CAATATTTTATTAATGTACTGAAATTTCAACATTATAAGAGATAACTTCTAGAGAGGTGGTTAGAAGTTGTAATTATAGGCTTTGCAGCTTTAGATTTATTACATGCAGGTAGAGACTAGATGTAAGTCATACTTTCATACTCCATTTGGAAAACATTCCAGAATTAAGGCTTGATTGTATTTTATTAGACAGTTCCATGACACCTGAATAAATGCCTTGGAGAAATCCATGCACATCTTTCATTTGCTCTGTTAAACCTTGGGTATAAAGCACTCTATTTTCATGTTGACTTTTTGTGCATTTTTTTCCTTGTGTAGTAATGATCACATTCAGCCAAGGACTGTGTGTGAGCCTCTCAAACAGAAGTTCCAATTTTTCCCCTTTGGTTTCCTAGACAACTGTCAAATTCCAAATACAGTCCATTAGTCATGTGTTGTATTAAATTTATTCTTTCATATTCTGTATTGTACCTTCTGCAGCATAGTAAGACTAGGAAAGTAAGTGTTTCAGCTGCATGGTTCTTACTGATTCAATTAATTTTCCAAATTTAGTTTGTTTATTTTTTCTGAAATTCATAAACAATGTTTTCTGTTGCAAGTGCATTTTTGTAAATGCATTTTTGTTCATTTAGAAAAGAGTACTACTTTACAAACAGAGCTTTCTGTTTCTTTTATACAGCAAAATCAATATTGTGTTGTAATTAGATATTACTCACTGAAGTTTTATTGTAACTTTTTAAAAACCTTTCCTGTGGATACTGTTGTACCAGTGTTTCACTTGTCAGCACATTTAAATTTTGAATACACAAAGTATTAAGAATTAGTTGAATTTGGACAATTAATTTTGTGGATAATTCTGTTTCTTGTTAATCTAGAACTGTGTTAACACTTTTATAATTACTTATACCAAATATCCATACATCTGCCCACAATTTCTGTTCATTGCATTTGACTCTAACATGAGATTTCACTTAGGTGGCACCATCACTGGCATATTGACCTATAATGGTCTTTATAAGAAAATCTCATTTTGAGTAAGCCCATTTCTTTCTTTTCCAGTTTATCATTAAATTGAAAGGGAGCTAAAAAGCATGAAGATATAGTTTGAAATATTATTTGAAGCAATTCAAACCCATTTGAGATTAAATGCTCATGCTATATATGCAGAAGATTTCACTGAAGAGCCCTGTATGAAAGAATCTATGTAATTTGTCCATCAGAAATCACCTTTGACTAGGCCTGAGATTTTACCCATGATTCATTCTTGAAAGATGACTTAAGATAAGTGACCCTAAATAAAAATATTTTGATCAACAAATTATCAGCCCAAATAATTTTCTAGCCTCACCTCCAGCTACAGTAAAACTGTGTAATCTGGATTCATCTGTGAAAATTTCTGGTATTGGTGTGAGAACCAAAGATATTAGATCAAGAAAAAAACCCTAAAGGTTTTGGTTTTCTGGTTTGGATTTTTTTGGTGTGTTTGTTTGTTTGTTTTGCGGTTTTTGTTTGGTTGTTGTTTGGGTAGGTTTTCTTTGTGTGTTTGTTTGTTGTTGCTGTTGTTGTTTTTAGTGTCTTGAAAAGTATACAGAAAAAAAATGTGTTAAAAAATATAAGAGATGAGATATTAGTTGAAATCCTCTAATGAAATTACACTGACGTGGCGTAGGTCTACTATAAATTCAGGACAAAGGACACACAATTCAGCAAACCTGCTTTCTTCAAGTTTTGCTGTAACTAACACTTATTAGTATAGTATAACCATGATGAATAGACATAGAGACAAGGTTGGGGTCACATGTGAAAAAGGGTTATCTGCCTTTTGCTTTAATTTAAAATACAGATTTGTTGAAATTACCTGTTCTTCTAGTGTTATTAATAATTCTCACATTAAAAATTAATTCCTCAGCATTTTGCAAACTAGCAGATATTTTACAACTGGAGAGAAGTTACACTCCCCTTTTTGAAAATAAATGTCATATGAATGTTTAGTATTAGTGATTCTTCTTTTATTAGGAACCTGTAGAATCCCTTACATATTATTTTGAAACTTGTGAGCAAAAACACTTAAACATTTTGCTGTATCTGACCATGAGATCAAATTTCAGCCACAGTGCTGCTTGAGAGGCAGAATCCAATAGTCAAAGGGATTGGAAAGTCCCATCTGTACCCCCAGGGAATGCTGCATTCAGTGTAAAATATGCATTGGTGGATAAGTATCAATGGTGGCAGAGTCATGATTCCCTGAGGTCAGAACTAGAGACACAGCTTTCAGATGTCTTCAGTGGAGCCTCTCCAGTAGTGACTCACCACAGCAAAAAGTGCTGAATCAGTGCTTCACTCAAAATGACCAAGGCATTGAAAGAATTTGCTCTTAGCCATCATTGGGATGAGCTTACGTTACCTTATTAAACAATGGAAGCTCTAATTATGCTAACACTTATTGTATATTTGGGAAAATGCAATTCTAGATTGATCAGAAATAGGTACCAGGCAAATTCTAGGTTAGTTTTTGAAACATATTCTCCGTACTTGAAGTATTTGGAGATCCTCTGTCTTTAAGAGTAAGAGAAACAGTAATCTAAGAGAAAGCTTTCACTTTTTGTTTTCCCACCTTTTGTGTTCTCTCTGACCTCTGTGTCTACTCAAATTTTCTTTATTTTATCTCCAGAGTTTCTACTGTGGCTGTTCATTCTCACTGTATTTGGAGAAAAGTACTATTAAGAGCTGCTTTCGCAAGAACAGAGACCTAAAAGAGAGGGATGTCTTCTTTTCTTCTCTAGGAATAAAGGCAAAATAACAACATAAAACAGTAAAAAAATGCCAGAAGTATATCTAGATGAGATATCCAAATGAAAATAAATGTCTTAAAGACAGCTCATCTGAATCTCAGTGCCTGAAGACTAATATGTGTAAGATGTAAGTAGACTATTTAAATTTACTGAACTGGATACCCAGATTATTAAAGACTGAGGAACACATGGCCAACCTTTCACCAGCTCTTGTAATGATGCAAGTAATTTATACTGAAGAACCTTACGATACTGTGTTTTTTTTTGATATTATATTACTTGTCAGGGAAGAAAAATCTAGTTGCACAAAGAAAAAGCATTCATACCAACAATCTCTATGATAGATAACTTGAAGAAGTTAATGCAAATATAGCGTTATTAACTTCCATGCCTGCTTAAAGACAGTAAATCCATTGGGAGCAATGATACCCTGTTCCCAAAATGGCAGGTGAGAACACTCCTGTTAGTCCGGGAACTACGATCTACCATGTGTTACCCCATGTCTACCAAAGACTCTTCAGTGATGCAGTAACTTCAACAAGACCCGTTTTTCCATTTTAGTGAAACGTGAAGGTAAAAGATAGAATCTTTGACATGCACACTTAAAGAATATTCTTAAAGTACTTTTGTTCTGTATTAGGTTTTGTGAAATAACTAATTTTCAATCCTGTGTTTCTTACTTCTTGGTACTCTTAGGTTGGAAAAATATATCTATGTGAATATGTAGACTTACACTTCTCTACTGTAATTAATTTTTGAGAAGTTTTGGACACACAAACAAAGAATGAGAGAGTCTTGAAGGAAATGCAGTCTTGAAGAAGCTTCGGGTCCTAAGGAAAAGACTTCCTTGCTAATTCATTTTCTGCCAGAAATGCAGCCTTTTTCTTTTCACATTAGCAAAAGAAGCAGAGGTTAAATTCTGAGATTTGGCATTTTTTAGAAAAACAAAGGTAAGACTGTCTTTTCTTCTCAGCCAGAAATAATGTTTTGTTTACTACATTTACTATTCTTTGGCCAGGTTTCCACCTATTTTAAATCACCCCATTCTAAATATTTTTAAAGCAAGTTTTTATGAAGGAATATTATTTCTGTGACATACTCTTATTATAATTGCATATTCTCATAACAAGTATTTTTGTCTTCTTGGATTTATTAATTTTATTAATAAATATCTGATGGTGATTTAATTATTTTTATTTTTATTTTTATTTTGAATAGTTATGTAACACTAATGCCTACAGGCTTCTGAGGCTGACTGTAAAAATAAAGACAAAAATACAAAATACAGTCATTGCTACAGATAAATTATAATCTAAAAAATGACACAATGAATCAATAAATGTTGAACCTAATGGAAAAAAGGAAAATAAATACTATGTATTAGTCAGGGAGGACCTATAAAAACAAATTGTCAAAGTTTAAATTACTAGATTACAGTTTAAAGAGGCAGGTTCTGACCAGGTGCTAAGTTCTGGAGGCTATTTTCACCTTTGAGGAAATCACTCCTTTCCTTGAAATACCTAGTTTTATGAAGCCAACTTTTATGTATTCCTTGCCTTAGGACCCACAGCTAATTTTAACTGAATGTCTCTTTAGATATCTCAAAAAAATCTGCATTGCATTGCATTTACCACTGTGAACTACAGCAGTGACATTTTGAGTCTCTTTTGATCTTTCTGTTATTCCATTTTTTACTAGAATATTTTCATCAGTTAAAAATAGGGTAAATATGCCAGAATAAATGGTAAACAATGCTAAATGTCAGTTATGAAAAGATAATGATCCATAACTTAAAAAAAATATTTCCAACCACATTTTTCTTCAAAAATTATTCTTGGTGTCCAAAAGCCATGAGAAATTTCAATAAAAATATTGAATTTTAGTTCTTCTTCACAAAAAACTAATATTTACCTATCCTTTTCTTTCTAGAACAAACTGAAGGCAGCATTTCCTGATTTGGAATTTGATCAGAGAACAGTAATTTAACTGTAATTTACCTTCACTTCCAGAAAACCAATACCTGAATTTTGCAAAGCAACTTCCCAAACACGAAGAGAGGGAGCTAAGATGACTCATTTTTTCAGACTGTCCCAGCATATGCTCTTTTGTGTGTCTTTCCTCCTTAGGACAGTAAGAGCTTGAGTTGAGGTATTTTTCTGATATCAGCACACAAGAGCTACTCTTTTTATTTGTAAACTGCAGAAAGGAATCTCTAGCTGATGCTGAGGTGATGCCACAGCCCTGCTGTTTCTGTCTGTCGTGCTGTGGGAGACCCACCCTTTTGATTTGGACAAAGGGCTTTACTTCCATTGAGTCACCTGTTCTTATTAACACTAGTGATTTAGAGAAAATCCAGGCTTTAGCATCTGAGACGTTGTTGCAGGGCTTGGCACAGATGAAGATACTAGTTCCAAATTACAGCTTCTCAAATAAAAGATTAACATCAGAAAATGAGGATACCTGGTCATTTTACAGATTCCATTTGCTATCCTTGCACTTACTCAAACCCTAATCAACTGTTACAGTTTTAATGGAATGAAAATCTCAGTAGTCAGCTTTTTCAAGGTTTTAGCAGGTAGTACTTTAAAGGGAAAAAAACCCAGCAAGGTTTGTTATTTCTCTACCCTGAAAATTTTGAAAGGGGTATGTGCAGTTTCATGCAAAATGCAGATAACCTGTTAGACAACCTGAAGATTTGAATAAACAGTCATGGTATCTACCTGGCACTTATGCTGGTACTTTCACTTTTACCATTTGCCCTATTTAAGATATCATTAAAATAGATACCTTCAGGCCACTTCTGGCTTTTTCAGAGACACAGAAAAATTAATTTGACATTGTTAGCAAAGATATTTTACTTACTTTCTGACTCATCTTCTGTAAATGATGAGAACATTATTATATTAAAAATATTTTTTTCTCTAAATGTGGACATAATATAACTAGCTGAAATGTGTATAAAATTAAAAACATATAGATACTGTCTATTGCTCAATCTTATTTAAAGGTAGAGACTGAAGGAAAACTGGAGGACTTACAGAATGCAATGCTCAATTACAACTAAATAGCAAAATCACATCTTTAATAAATGGGAATTTCATTTTTCTAATGAAATGTACTAAATTATAGAGCATTACATATATGATATATAGACCAGTATTGTATTTCAAATACTTGAAACTCTTTGCTTAACAGCAGAAGGTACCGAGGGGCCTGGACTACATGTAGTTTTGAGATCCTTTCTTTAAGGATTATTTTTTAATGACAGTTTTTCTGAATTATTATATATACAGAATATCTGAATTCTACCTGATATCATTCATATCCTGGAAGTTTACCAGATAACAAGCAATTTTAAAACCAGTGAAGGAAGGAGAGAGAAGCTAATACTAAAAAATTAGCAGTTTATGATTCAAGGATTGGAGCTTGTTTAGGGCTCAGTACAGGTGACAGCACAACTTCTGTTTCATTGTTCTATTAAATTAAAGCATGTATAGAAACTGTAATCAGATACAAATTTCTGTGTTGTTCTGTTAAGCTTTGTAACCTAAATGAAAATGCTTGGGGCATATTTAGTATAGGAAAAACCTTCTTGTGTAATAGCAGCAGCAAAGAAAAGATATAATTGCATTAGACAGTAGTGGAGACAGGTCTCATGTAATGTTTTCAACTCATCAGGAAAACTTTTTTAGGACATGTTTTTTTCCCTGAAAAATACAGTGAATCCCTAAGTCTGCCAATACTTTCTCCCATCAGTCATTGGCTCCTTTGTGGATTTCTAGAAATACGAATACATATCCTTTAAGTGAGGACAATGCATTTTGTTACAGCATTCATAGCTGTAACTGTTAATGGATGAAAAGTAGCCTAAACAAATGCATTGAATTATAAAGACAAGAAATACACACTGATGACTTGATTTGGATTCATCTTTTGAGACTAGTTTCATAGAAAAGGCACCTAGAGTGACAAGTTGAACCACAGACCTGTAAAATGGGGAATAAATAAATGAATTATTCAGAAAGACCAAGGAGAAACCTCAGACAACTTCACAGTTCATTAATCCTGCATGAGCAGAAGTAGTAATCAAAGGACTGTATCCAGAAAATGACTGTTCTTTTAATTAAAAAAAAAAAGGGACAACTTTGAGTTTAGGATCTTTACAATTGAGAGTTACATTAATTTTAAAAAGGGATTAGCAAAGGCATCCATCTTGTACAAAGAAAAATTTAGAAGCAGAAATTTCAGCATAGAAGTTTATTATAAGGTTGCATGCTGGAGACTCTGGCTGGCTTTATAATTTACTTTTTACTTTTACACTGCATCTGTATCTCCAGCCACTCCAAGGTCTCTGTCATTCTGCACATTACATTAACTCATAGTTCTCCAGGATAGTTCTTGAGAGAAATTTTCTTCTTTGTGTCTACAGTACAGTATATGTTAATTCTGAATTTATTGTCAGGTATCTTGGTTCTGGTCTTGTATTACTTATCTGCTTGGTGCTATAATCTACTGACTAAATTATTTCAGTAACCTCAGTGCTGATCATACACACTGATGGATGCTGTGCTGTGAACCCACTCCAGAGATTAAGACTTGAGGTGGCATAGGAACATGAGTCTTTACCATGTCATGGGATTGGTAATTCACATTTAGGAGTATACTGTTTCATTTCTTTCCTCTAGTTCCTTTCTCTAGGTTTTTCAAGCACTTTTTAACATCCCCTTCAGCCTTCACATACCTTATTTCATAAGATCATTACTGCAGCACTTTGTGCGTCCCTGTGTGTGTGGATTTCTACAAACTGCTTCAGACACACGAGAAGCTTTAGGAGAAGGACTATTCAATGAGTGCAAATGAGCAGAATATTTTATCTCAAATTTAGATGTGGCATCTCCAGGATACAGATGTTGCACATTCATGAAGTAATGCAGCAAAGGCTACATGGCTTAATGTAACAGAAAACATAATTTAAGCTCATTAGTTAAGCATTGAAACTCACTCTTAAAATTGGTTCTCATAACTAAAATTTTTACAGCAATATGCTGTAAACTGTTGCAAAGTAGACACCAAGTAAGGCTTTAATTTATTCCCTGGTGGCAGCACTCTTTAACCATATCTGCCTTCCTTTTTGCCATTCTCTCCCTCCAGCTATTCAAACCTCTTAACTGTGCTGTACAGTACATCACTTTAAATAACTGATCCTGCTGCAGAAGGACTTGGAAGAGAGAAAAATAACACTGCTTTCAGTTGATGCACTGCAGGACTCCATAAAGAGAGCTGCTGTACAGTAGAGAGTTCAATGCAGAGAGCAGGAAAAAGCAGCATCTTCCACCACTGTTACTAAAGCCATTCACGGCAAACCAGAATCAGATTTTGGACTAGTTTCAGTCTGAACTAATACTATGACACTTGCCTTGCAAATAATCAGAAGCAGCATCTTTTCCTATATAGCCTTGATTATTCATGCTGTTTACTTTTACTTAAAAGGCCTGTGGTTTTGATTCACAGCTAACAGTCAATAAACACAACCCAAGCTGCTCTGGGATCTAATATTAGCCTTCACCACAGTTAAGTGCCGGTAAGAAAGAATTATGCTTGTTCCTCCCATAATTCAGCTGCTGTCATTTAACCAGCACCACTTGTGTAAAATCTTTTCGTTTAATGAAAGTATTGATGTTTGTAAAGTTGTATTACTGATGCTTGAAAAAAATATGGAAAATTAAAATCTCTTAAGTTGTAGAATGTAGGTTTACCATTTTCAGCAGTACCTCCCAGAATATGCATTTATACTTGCTGTTAAAAAAAAAATAGCTGTACTGCTAAAACACTTTGATCAGCAATTTGTTCTATTGTTGGGAGTGTCCAAGGACACAGGCAAAGCAGTATCTGTGGGCAGAAAAAGAAATGTCTTTTTCTGGATCTGCAGGAAAAAGCTGAAAAATAATTTATAAAATATCAAAACAAATTCTGAGCATTTGCTTTTAACTGCCATTCAGCCTTGAAGTATGCTGCTTCTATTTCTATTTAAGCCTGGAAAGAGTTTCTGACCAAATGTTGGGGTTTTTCCTATTGGTACAATCTAGCTTGCCTAAATTATTTAATTTTCTTTTATAGGTCATTCTTATGCAAGAAGCTAAAAGTAATTAAATTTGCAGGATGAAAACATGGCACAGGCACTGCTGGTACCACCTGGACCTGAAAGCTTCCGCTATTTTACTAGAGATTCCCTCGCAGCTATTGAAAAGCGTTCTGCAGAAGAAAAAGCTAAAAAGCCCAAGCAAGAACATACAGATGATGATGATGAAAATGGTCCAAAACCAAACAGTGACTTGGAGGCAGGAAAGACACTGCCATTTATTTATGGTGACATACCTCCAGGAATGGTATCTGAACCTTTGGAAGACCTGGACCCATATTATATCAATAAAAAAGTGAGTGAATTATGTTTTGCACTAAATAGAATATACCTTTATACACTGGAAAAGTTTAATCACAAAATGTGATAGTTAGAACTGTCAATCTGCTAAATATACAGAACCATCCTTTTATTTAGCAGAACTGATTTATGCTCTTCCATATTATGACTGCTTCAAGTCTGTTGAGTTATTTGCTATTTACTTCATTGTAAGGAAGATGTGTCTTCCTTGATCTTGCCTGAACTTGAGCACAGAATGATTTTTTTTTTTTAATTTCAATGTAATAGTAAGACTGAATATGACAAAAGAGATGTTCTAAGCATGGTTTTGCAATGGAAGTAGTTGTAGATAACAAGGTAGTATCCACTCAAGTTAGTGAAATAGAGGACTGTAAGCATATTCTCTGTGCAAACATACACATGAAATACATGTATCCTTGTATATGTAGCATATAGAGACTCTGTAAATGTTGGCTCATATGAAACTACCACAATGCAAACTATTGCTTGAGGTGCTTGGGTTTGATATGATAGATCTCTACTGCAGAGCTGTCAACTAGAAGTCTTTGGCAGACCATGGCAAAACTCATTTTTGAGGAAGGAATCAAAAAAAGACATTTTTGGTGTTCTGAAGAGATTTCATACAGAAAGACCAGAGCAAAGAGTTATGAGATAAAAGCAATGCATCTAAGTTACATGTGTGAATGCAACACATGCAAACTCCCAAAAGAGGTGCATTTTCTCTTCCAATTTGTACAGTCCTCCTTTTCACATGATCCCCAAGTCAGGAATTCAAAGATAGAAAAGGTAGTTCAAACAGATCCATTCAAGTTAAAAGTTTGACTTTTTACAAGTGAGGATCTGCAGCAGAGTGTATGGGTTTTGGTCTTGTAGTGATGATGCATCCAATTGGAAGCAGACGGGTGTTATTCAAGTTAAGATAAAGACAAGGAAAGAACAAGTGTATTTCCATAGCTGGGATTAGTTGTAGACAGTTATAAAATCCTCTGTGGTCTGAAATAGTCCAACCTGGGAACAAGTAAAAGTACCTTAGGTCCTGCACTGATTAGTGAAAGGACAGGAGACAGTAAGAGCCAGTTTTCCTCTATGCTCTTGTTTATTTCTGTGTGCTCCGTTAGCAGCATCAAGAGGTTCTCTCAGTTTCTGATAGACTTCAAAGTGTTGTGGGTCAGGAGAGTGAAGGAAGATGAAGAGGTGGATAACACCTCTAAATTAAAAAATGCACAAGGTGTTTTATGGAGAAGTACTTGGGACTATCTTTTCCCATCTCACTGAAAAAGAAATAACTGGATACAGTTGCTCTATTGACGACTTGAAGCATTCCAGGCTGTCATCAAGATAAGAAATTTTATCTTGAGCCACTATAAAAAATCAAGGCATAAAATACTTTAAACTCCAAAGAAACTTGTTCGCCAGAAAAAAAATTATTCAAATAATACTCTCACTTTTGTGGCTAAATTTGGTTTAAATTTTGTGGCTAAATGTGGTCATTTTTGGTTTGTAAAACAGGTTTAAAAATTATGGCCTCAGTAATGGGAACAGAAAATAAAGCAGAATCTGTATGTAACTGCATAACCTAAGAGTTGCCAAAGTTAAATAAACAATGCTGTAGATAATACAAGTATATACATTATTAAGGAAATATAAAGAAATTAAATTTCAAAGAAGTAGCATTGCCAAGGGTTATTTAAATTTTTGTGGTTTGGGTTATAACAACAGTTCCATGGAAATTCTTACTTACAATATAATGTCAGTACTAAGCCCTTTTCTCAACTAGCTGCAGAACTTCAGGAGTAAAGTTGCATACATAAATTCAGGGATAAAGTTGTCTGAAGAAGTGAAGTTTCAGAAAGACTGAGAAGTTCTGAAGTATAGTTTCTAACCTCTACTGATAAGAAAATGTAGACAGATTTTTTCAAACAGAAGTGTAAAAGCTGACACTAATGATGGATTTCTTAGTACTGAGAACAATTAGTAAACTGTAGAATCTTTAGTTGCAGGTGACATCTGTGTTTCTATTACCTAGCAATATAATTATGCTCAACAGAAAACAAATGGACATCTTAAATCATGGACTAGAATTAGTCATCTCTCCTCTGTTGTATAGTACAAACTACCCTTAATCACTGACTTGTCAGTGCAGAAGAAATCATATGTGAATTTAGTCTGTCTTTGGGCTCAGCTGCAGCAGTGACCTTGGGACAGGCAACATCTTTCTAGCATTTCCAGCTGGGTGAAGGACTGTAGGGCAGGGAGAAATGCCAAGGAGTGTGTGTCCCTTCTCTGCCACCCTCAGTGTTAGCTTGATATTTTTCTGTGAGCAGGCACCAGCAACACTCCTTTACCTATCTTCTTTCCTACCACGTAGTGGTTTTCTTTCCTTCCCTGAGATGACTGTCCAAGTAGGCAGTAAAGGCCACAGAGAGGGCAGAATTTTCCTGATCATAGCCAACTTTTTACAGAGAATGGAAATCAACATGGAGAACAGTGATACTTTATAGCTCTGCTGAGAGTGTAACAAAGACTCTATTATGTTAACACAAAGCAGAGCCATTACCATCCACAAAGAGCAAAAGGAATGAAGAATAGTTATGTCCTGAAGAAATTTCAAGCAGCACCAAAGATGCAAGTAAACCTCATTCACAGACAAATACACTTAGGCAACGATTGCCCACAGAAACAGAATGAACTGAACACAAACCATAGGTTTATTGGACCAAATTTTAATAGATAATCACTAGCTAAATTTTCTGCTCACATATAGGGAAAGTAAGAGCACACTGTTAACAAGAAAACCAGCAGTTTCTTTTAAAAAATATTTGTTGTAATAGGATGCCAAATCCTGGTGACTGTCTCACATTGCTCAGAACTATGTTAGCTGGCAATATATTAATATTTTTTTTTCATAGATATTTATTTCAGAAGATGCATATAATTGATATTGGTAGTATTTAAAATAAAAGATTAAAGCAAAATTATTTTTAAATTGTGGTTGATTTTGTAATGAGAATTTCTCCTTGTCTCTATACCTATGTGTGTATATAATTCTGTCAAGTATTTGTTCCAGATACAAACAGGCATTTGGAATTATCCTTTTGATATTTTGGTTTTGTGTTTGCTGACAGGGTGGAATACATTTGATAAATTTTAATCACTTTAATCAAACACTTCATAAGAAATAAAATTGAAATATTTCCATGGCAAAATCTTGCATTTTACTTTTATTGATAAACTATTGTTTTTTGTAATTCCCACACATTTTAATTACATCATAATTCAGTCCACATGCTGGAAAATTTTGCTAATTGGAGAATTGGCTGTGGAAGACTTACTCCATTGTATTCACAGAAATCAGTTATTTTCGTACCACAGGTAGACAGTACAATGGAACTTGTACCTCTCAGGCAGAAAATGAAAACTTTTAGTAGGATGTGAAGATATATACGTAGTCAACATTGTATTTTAATTTTGTATTTCTTTTTTTGCAGACTTTCATAGTATTGAATAAGGGGAAAGCAATTTTCCGGTTCAGTGCCACGTCTGCCTTGTATATTTTAACCCCTTTTAATCCCATCAGAAAAATTGCTATCAAGATTTTGGTACATTCATATCCTTTTCTCTTAATGTTGATTTAAGTGTTGCTATTTAAAAATACTTAATGATCAAAATAACACTTTTCATGTGGATATACAAACTGTGTCCATGGGAGTGAACTATGCTAAAAAAATATGTTGCTCACATTTTAAAAAAGGAGCCAATATCACATGTGGATTGCAGTATGATCTTCATCCCTGCTGAGAGAATTCTCTACTGAACCACCTAAATCTGTCACAGTTTAAATATCAGGCTTAATATCTAAAAGGAGACTGAATCCCATACTAAGCCCTGCAGCTAAGGCCACATTAGTAACAAACCATTGCACTTGAACATATCTAAGGTCACACTTTTACCAAGACCAGTAGTACTATTAATGAACTAGACTCACTTAGCAAGGACAAAAGAGCATGGGTAAAGAGAAGCTTTTTCAGCATTGTGTTTTTAGCTTTGGGATAGGTGCCCTATAAAAGATTTGGGATAAAGGAGAGTATTTTCAAATATATTTCAATCATGTTCAAAGAAAAACTCAGGCCTAAACAACCAACCTCTGACTAAAGATCTTTTAGAATGATCCACCTGTATTAAACGAGTAATTACATTTGGGTAGTCATTTAATGATTTACAGAGTTAAAGTTATGTTTAAACTTCATTTAAAACCTGCTATTATTATAAAAGTATTGCATTTTATTTATGGAAGTGCACCATAATATGCCAGATGGCATACCATTTAAAATACATAAAATTATGTGCAAAGCTTTGTTTTAGGCTTTAATATCATGTTATTTGGACACATTTGTAAACAATATCTTTAAGTTATTTCATTTACTGTTATAAAGCTGTCCTACTTTTCTGACTAACATGCCTTAACTACAACCTACGTTATTCAGCATGCTTATCATGTGCACTATTTTGACCAACTGTGTATTTATGACCATGAGTAACCCTCCAGACTGGACAAAGAATGTAGAGTAAGTTAAACATTTTTACTTCTTTATTATTATGTCTCTGTTTTTGTGTGACTCCAAAAAAGAAGCATTTATAAAAATGTGAAAGCCAGAATGGGCTTGTCCAGAGTCAAGAAGAATCATATTCCATGAGATCATCAATATCTTTCCTGTTTCCTCCTAAACAACTTAAATAATTTAACAGTAACACCATGTTTGTTTAAATTATGCCTGTGGAATATCTGGACTTCTGCTGTGTACAAACAGGAGTTCTTGTCCTTGGATATTCTGAGTTGTAAATCAGTCAGGGAGCTATAGATGTGCATGTAAAATTGTGCATCTGAAATTGTTGCCATACCTTGCTTGCATATCCATGATCTCGTCACAGTAGGACTTTTATCATGCCTTACTGATTTGACCTCATAAGTGCCTGCCACAACAAGGACCACAAGAAACTCAAATTGCTGAGGAAAGGGCCATACCTATGAAAGAGTAACAAAGAGCTGACCTAAATACGGAATATTTTTCTTTCTAGTTCATGGTTATAAATGCATGTGTATTCTTTAACAAAATACAGATACATGTTCTCCTCTGAAATACTGTAGAATCACAGAATGATTTGGGTTGGAAGGGATCTTAGAGATCATACAGTTCCAAACCCCTGGCATGCAGAGAAACCTTCCTCTAGGTCATGTTTCTCAAAGCCCTTTATGTTTTTAGTTGAAATAGTATTACTCATGAAAAATCTGCTTCTAATCACTTATTGCTTCTTTCATTCCCTTCTTTTCTCAAAGAGCCATTACTGGTTTTTATTTATTTATTTCTCTGCACAAATGAACCTTACACTGAACCCTGTTTAGAAACAACTACCATTAACTCATTCCCAGTGAACAGTGATGATGGCTTGCTAGAGGTGCAGAGAGTCTGAAAGCAGAGCAGTAGGGTCTGTAGGTAGAGTTCCTTTATTCTGGAGGTCCACAGAGATCTATGTGGGTCTCGGGAAGTGCCTGCATTATGCTGGTTATAACTGACTATTCTATGTTGTTAAATGAATAGCTGTTCCCACACCAGGTAAGCTGGTAATCATGCTCCCCATCTTTGAGAGTAACAGTCTGGGCATGCTTTCTTATATTTATGATTATTTATGAAATAAATAGGCATTAGTACAGTTATTATCCAGAATTGATTTTACAAAACTCTCTGATTTAGACATTAAAAAAAAAATTCTTTAGTTTTTGTAACACTTAGACATCTACCTGATTTATGAATGCAAGCAAAGAGGCAACCCTGTGAGTGCCAAAGAACTCAAAGTCTGAAATGTATCCATAAATACTAGAGTCAAAAATTATTTGTAAGCACAAGAACTGAGATTAAACCAACCTTTTAGAAAATGAGTAGCATATATATCAGGTTCAAATTTCAACAAAGACTGAACAGCAACTACAATATTTAGGGCAAGTGAAGTTAATAATTTACTCCTTTTCCTTCTGAATACTTTTTCTTCTCTTTTAAGTCATCTTTGCTAAAGAATGGCACTGTCTGTAAGTATGCAAAAATCCATGCAAAAATTCCTGCTCTGATGATTTTCAGGTACACTTTCACTGGAATTTATACCTTTGAATCACTTATCAAAATTCTTGCAAGGGGCTTCTGCTTAGAAGGTTTTACTTTTCTGCGAGACCCATGGAACTGGCTTGACTTCAGTGTCATTTTAATGGCGTAAGTGGTTCAAGAACTTTTTAAGCTTTTAGGGCATGAAATTAGTGGTAAATATTATTGTATTATGTGTATTTATTTAAACATATTTAATTTTTGCAACCTTTGAAGCTTAGACACTGTATAACACATTTTAGTATTCATAAATCAAAGAAAAATATGGCAGAAGCCGAAATGGAGTGTCAGCCACTAGTGCAATTACTGCTGAGGGACACTAATTTCATGGCCTACATTTTTCTGCTCACCAGAAGTGAAGCCATCCCTTTGACTCCATGTTACTGTCCCATTAAAAGCTAATTAGTTTAACTAGATGTTCAAATACAAATCAGTGAGTTTCACTCCAATGACATTTAAGCAAAATTGATGAAAACAATTATTAAATTGAAATGTACTGAAGAGACAGGTAAATTTTGAAGTATGATTGCTAGTATTGCCACAGAGGTTTTGAAGACCCACATAATTAGTATAAGCTCTGCCTCAATTCTGAATAACTGTGATTTAATCCTACAGGTATGTAACAGAATTTGTAAACCTAGGCAATGTTTCAGCTCTTCGAACTTTCAGAGTATTGAGAGCTTTGAAAACTATTTCTGTAATTCCAGGTAAGAAGTAGTTGGTGTCAGGTGTTAGGCCCCTCGTATCTCCAACTGTTATTTGTGTGCTGTCATTGTGTTTGTGTGTGAACTCCCCTATTACAGATATGTGACAGAGTTTGTGGACCTGGGCAATGTCTCAGCGTTGAGAACATTCAGAGTTCTCCGAGCTTTGAAAACAATATCAGTCATTCCAGGTGAGAGCGAGGTTAAACACTGAGGCTGACTTTTGTTCATTGAATTCACTTCCTTTGAGCATAAGTCTTGTTGTTTGCTGCTCATGTTGCCAAAAAAAAAAAAAAAAAAAGGAATAAAAAGGCATGGATCATTAACCTGGTTTATGATTCTTTGCCTTTTCAGCATTAGCTTCTTTTATTTTGCAAAATCAGCCTTTGAGTTTAACAAAGTCTTGCATGAAACATAAAATATGAGGCCTATGGATTATTTTGCTTTGTTTTTCTGCATTTTATTGTGTATTGACAAATTGCCTCTACATTACAAAAGCTTAGTGCTATGGCATTCTTGGTTTTAAAATTTTTCCTTTTTTTATCACTTAAAATTGACATTATTCTTAAAAATAAGCAAGTAACAGATAGATACCAAGAAGATACCAAAGAGAAAATAAATTATGCACAGGAAAATTTATCAAATGCAAACTTTTTTCATTCAAAATTACTAGCAATTCTATCTCATGCTGCTTTGCACTGTTGTGAAGTCATGTTTAGAATTAACTGGAAACTGAATTATTGGCAGAATATTTAATGCAGAGAAAAATTAGTAAATGCAATCAAATCTGTACTAAGAAAGCATGATTGATAAAGTTTCCTGCTTGAGAATATTATATATTCAATTTATTGGACTATATGTACATTGCATATTCATAAAAAGGAATATTTTTCTTTCATTCATCTTCACAAGCTCTGAGGCTGCTCATGAAGTTTTACCTTTCAAGAAATAAAAAATAATTTCTTTTTAAGTGTCTGCATGGCTTCTTAATTATATGGGAAGGGCAAAGATAGTCTTTGATAATTCTATCAATCTACTCTCTTTGCAGGCCTGAAGACTATTGTAGGAGCCCTGATTCAGTCTGTGAAGAAGCTCTCGGATGTGATGATCCTGACTGTGTTTTGTCTGAGTGTATTTGCACTGATAGGGCTGCAGCTGTTCATGGGCAACCTGAGGAATAAATGCCTGCAGTGGCCTCCAGACAATTCTACTTTTGAGATAAACATTATTTCCTACTTTAACAGCACAATGAATGAAAACGGTACTTTTGTTAACATGACAGTGAGCACGTTTAACTGGAAGGATTACATCGAGGATGAAAGTAAGAATTTCTGATATAACTATTTTAATATATTTGTGGCTAAAATACATAATTATTTGTGACCAAGTAAAGAACATTGAAGGGTTTATATTTCTGACTTATGTAGAACTGCTTACAGTCACTGATTTACAGAGATCAAATAAAAACAATAAAAAATACAACAATCAGAAAGGTTCCTAAACATGCTACAAAGGGATCAATAGCTAGCCACTATGATTTAACACAATTTATTTTTATTTTACTTTGTATTGCTTTCAGGTTTATTTGATCTACTCATATATATTTCTAATGCTTTCTACACAGCTCATTTTTATATTTTGGAAGGACAAAGAGATGCCCTACTTTGTGGTAATAGCTCTGATGCAGGGTAAGACCCTTTCAAAAATTCTATGTTATGCTCTGTAGAAAAAGAAGTAACATGAGATCGAGTTGCAAATCCATATTTAGCAGGGTTACAGAACTTATGGAGTTTTGCAGCTAAGTGAGAATTTCTTATTGAAGTCAAAATGTTTTACAGTCTGGCTAAACAAAATAGTAATTATAACAGCCTTTTTCCTGCTTCATTGGAAAATGAACATCGTTTTATTGATAAGATCTGAAATTTTTTAAGTCTCCTTTGATGATTTAGAAAGTAGGAGGAAACAAAAGTTAAAAGTGAGAAAGAGAATATAAAAAATATTAAGAAAGCACAGCAGTGACTTCATAGTTCAAGACTGAATCTGTTTTTTCAAGCCTAACTCTTTCACTTCTGGCAAATTCTGCCATTTACATGTGCCAAATTATGAGCCTAGAATTGTTAGCTGAACTTGGATGCCTGACAGGCAGCAGTGAAGAGGTTTACTAAAAATATATCTATTAGCATTATGTGGGAAATCCCTAATACTACAATTGGATTTAGCTAATAGTATGTTTTAATCTGTCTGTAGCCTTAACAACATTTTAGCAATTATTTCTGCCAGGAAATAATGAATTTGGAATAGAGTTTCTATTTGCAAAATGTAATTGAAGAGAATTTTAATATTTAGGTAATTTCAGCCAGTGAGTAGATGAAAGGGATATCTTTAATCTACTATGTTGTTAGTTAAATTCTTGGGAATTTTTTTCTGAATTAATTTTATTGTAATTTATGGATTTTCTGTTGAAAAATAATGTATATTCTTCCAAAAGATAATACATATTTTCTAGATGGGAATAAAGGTTTTGACTAAGTCCTCGTATTTGATTTTCACATAGGCAATGTCCAGAAGGATATATATGTGTGAAAGCTGGCAGAAACCCCAATTACGGCTACACAAGTTTTGACACCTTCAGTTGGGCTTTTTTGTCACTGTTTCGGCTAATGACTCAGGACTTCTGGGAAAATCTCTATCAGCTGGTAAGAAATTATTATTACTTAAATAGTAAACTGTTGGTGACATTCAAAATGACATAAATAGGCTTATTTTTGCATGAGCTGAAAAAGATAAGTTGTGGAATAATATATAAATATGCTTTCTACTCCCTAGACACTGCGTGCTGCTGGGAAGACATACATGATATTTTTTGTTCTGGTGATTTTTCTGGGCTCTTTCTATCTGATAAACCTGATCCTGGCTGTGGTTGCCATGGCCTATGAAGAACAGAATCAAGCAACAATGGAAGAAGCTGAGCAGAAAGAGGCAGAATTTCAACAGATGCTTGAACAACTGAAGAAGCAACAAGAAGAAGCTCAGGTAATAATGGAAATTGTACTTTCTGAACAACCTTGTCCTTAAGGCAAGGAGAAAAATCTTTCATGATTAAGAACACAAACAAATTGTGCAGTGAATTTCAGAAAATAAAACGTCTTGTTTACTATGCAAGTTATAGAAGTGTAAATAGCCAATAGTAAGAAAAAGCAAGCTAAAGGTACAAACAAGAATGATACTTAATACACCAAAAGACTGCAAAAGTAAAATGTTTTTCATAAAAGGGCTCTAGAAAACCAATTTGAGTAGTTGTAAATAATGGTGATTTTAAGTTACAGATCTTATAAATAGCATGAAAAAAATCTAGTGATGTTACTTCTGGTTTACAGCTGAGTTAGAATTGCCAAGCTTGATGTATTTAATAATTCTCCCCAAATATTAATCAAATAGAGAGAAGGATTGTAATCAGTGTTTTTCAAGGTTTCTCTCCAGCAAGGTAATTAAAAATATCCCTAACTGAAACTGTCGTAAATCAGGAGTCTAAGTATTCTTCGAACAGACAAGTAATATTCAAAAACAGATGAGCAATATTCATAACAAAGATATTATTTTAGAATTCTTTTAAAGTAATCTTTGTTTTTTGAAAAGAGAAGAAAATTATTTAAAGTTTTATGAGTACTATAAAAATATATAAATATTTATATATATATAAAGTTTTATAAGTACTATTTTTGGTAGTATTTTACAGGTACTTTCACTAAGTTAGAATGACTCCATGAAGTGCTAACAAAAAGACAAACTCTGTCTTTTGCTTGAAAAGAAAGCTTTATGTATGACTCATGAAATCTCATTAGCATGTCTTTATTTTAGTAATTGAATTTTACCCCTTCCAAATTACTAAAGAAAGAGTAGAATGCTGTAAAAATCAAATTTAGAAAGGTTTAATGTCAGCAAAGTATATATTGCTGTGTTTTTCTTAAATCTGATGTTTTAATGGCTTAAAGGCACTAAATGACATTATACTAAAAAATATCAGCAGGCTCATCTAGATGTTTGTGTATCTGAGAGTGGGGGAAAATGAAGCTGATTCAGACTTAGAAAGAATAGAATAAGAAACACAGACTAAAAGTAAGGTTGAATAAAGACCCTGAAAGTAATTTTATTTTTTTTAAATGAGCAACCAGTACATTCATTATAAGTAAAGCATAATTACAGCCAGGATCTCTTTTGTTTGTGAAAACATTAGCAGTACAGGGTGGACAACTGAAGTGTTGAATTGGTTGCTAAGGCAGAAATTAGTCTGGGACCCATCTCTTCACCCCCTTCACATTGAACCTATTCATCCAGAAACTTAAGTCATCACAGTGATTTTTGGATTGCTCCACTTGTTTGACCTTTACTGTTAGTATTATGAAGTAGATGGGTGATGACTCAGCATCTGCTGCCTTTGTTTCTGTTAGAGTCTTTGAAGGATGATATTCTGGAACCAGTAAGACAAAATTTTGACTACTGCTTATTTTATAAATACTTCAGAATCTTTTTATTACTCCATTTAGCAGAAAAAGTCTGTATCAAGTCAACTTGTATAGCATGGGTTGTATATTGTGGCAAAGAAAGACATTAGTTCATACTATGAGCTTTCAAACTATCCTTTCCTGCTGTAAAGAGATGTCATAATTCCTGAAAAACTTGGCATAGAATATAATGTTTTGCTAGATAATTACTAGTCATCTTTGTTATATAACCCTAGTTTCTTGCAATTTATCACACCACCCTTTTTTGTAAGCTATGAGCAGCCTATCATCTCCCTAAAGATATTTCCACTACAGAATTTCATCACAAACTCCCACAGTTCTTTTGAGGAACAGCACTGGACATACTCTCAATTGTTCTTTTTTTCATGACTAAAATAACCTTTTCCCTAATGAACCAAAACAAGTAGGCTGACCACTGTAGTTAAAGATACTGGTCCTGAGTTTTGGGATGACTGTTCCAGTAAGTCATCTCACACCTTTCCACAGAGAAGAAACCTAAACTTATTTTCTTCTCTCAGGCTGTAGCATCAACAGGAAATAAATGCATCTTTGCATATCTATAAGACCTAGAGTGCAGATACAGTGGGACATGTGGAGAGGAAACATGAAGAGGAAGGAAGGACTTGAAGACATGTCTAGAGGTTGTGCCTGGTACCAGCAAAGGCTGAAGGAAAATAGAGTGTTCTTACTGTGAAGACAGTGAGGAAAGACTGGGTTCAACTGCTTTCAGGGGGCTAGCTGGATTTGATACATTAACTCACAGGATGAATGTTAGGCATTAGTTTTCTCTGTAAGAGCTCAGAAGGAATCAGCTGAATTAGACCATGATGTGGGGCTTTTCTCAAGAGAAAAATGGAATAACAGGACCAAAATACATGAAAAAGCATTATATTAACCCTTTTCTGACTCCTTTTATTTCAGACAAGTGTCTTGTGCAGGAATTCTTTAACAAATAGTGTAGCTATTATTCTGTCAAAGTTGGTGCTTCAAATAACTCATGCTGCAAAACAGTGAGGAGCTGTACAACTCAATATTTTATCTTCAGTACAATTTGTTTGGGTATATATACACACTCAAGAGTGTATGAAGAACATTATTATCACAGTGGTAATAAAAACCAGTTGATAAAAGACTATAAAATTATTCTTTTTTTGGCCTACTAAGAATACCTTGCTTTGTAACCTGACAGACAACAGCAGCAGTAGCAGCAGCATCAGTTGCATCAAGAGATTTCAGTGGTGTAGGGGGATTAGGAGAACTCCTGGAAAGCTCTTCAGAAGCATCAAAGTTGAGCTCAAAGAGTGCTAAAGAAAGAAGAAACAGAAGGAAGAAAAGAAGACAGAAAGAAATGTCTGAAGCAGAGGACAAAGGAGATACTGATAAGTTCCCCAAGTCTGAGTCAGAAGACAGTATCAGAAGGAAAGGTTTCCGCTTCTCCGCAGAAGGAAGTCAACTGACATATGAAAAAAGGCTCACTTCTCCTCACCAGGTACAGCACTCTATTTTACTAAATCATGTTCTGTTTTATTTTCACTGATATTACAGCAGGTTTGCATATTGGAAGTTATGTAAATGGTAAGGGAAGGAAAAAGGTAGTACCATTCACAGTGTTTGAGATGCCAAAGGGATAAAAACAATGTACCAAGAATACTTATAAACTTAATTCATACATTTCTGAAAATGTATTTCTGAGGATGTGTCTAGTAGACTAGAGAAAGAAAGATTGGTATTAATATATATGTGTTAATGAACCATACATTTTCTGTTCTGGATCCATTTCAAAACTATACAAATATGTGCGTTTTTTAGCAGACTGCAACATCAAAATACTCTGCACAGGAAATCCCACATTACCATTGATTTCTATTATTTTCCTTAATTAACTTCTTTGATATGAAGATAATGAGAAAACTAGCACTAGTACTACACAATAAGGACAAACTACACAGGGATCTTTCGGGCCTGTATGTGTAGCAATTTAGTCATACTGTTATTTTTCATTAGAAATCATGGAAAATCATTAGAAATCATGGAAATCATTAGAAATTATGGAGAATCATTGCAATCATAGGAAAACAAGTAGTTTATGAAGGGCCTCTGGAAATCATTTAATCCAAAATGCTAAGCTCTACTCCCATAAATCACAGGGTCACTTTTGTCACCTTTTGTCACCTAAGAATATGCCCTCTGTACTTGGCATTGTGGTGAGGCCACACCTTGAATCCTGCATCCAGTCCTGGGTCCCTCTGTACAAGACAGTCATAGAGCTGCTGCAGCAGGTCCAGAGAAGGTCCAGTGAAGGTCTAGAGAGTGAGTTGTATGAGGAGAAGCTGAGGAAGGTGAGGGTGTTTAACCTGGAAAAGAGTCGCAGGTAGCACCTTATCACTCTACAACTCCCAGAAAGTTTGTGGCCGGGTGGAGGTGAGCCTCTTGTCCTAGGCAACCAGTGACAGGATAAGAGGAAATAGCCTCAAGATGGCCAGGGGAATTTGAGACTGGACATCAGGAGGAATTCCTTCATGAAAGGATTTTAAAAAATCAGAATGGACTACCCAGATAGGTGGTGGAGTCAGTGTCATTTGAAGTGTTCAAGAAATGACTGGACATAGCATTTAGTGCCATGGTTTAGTTGACAAGCTGATGATCAGTCAAAAGGTTGGGCTTGATGATCTTGGTTGGAGGTCTTTTCCAGCCTAAATGATTCTGTTTTACCTTTGCATATTTCAAGGCTATACACAGTTATGGCATTTTTTAAAAAATCACTCAAAATGCATCTCTTCAAAGTGATAATGTGTGGTCTGAGCCAATAGATTACTTTTACCTCCAAATATTACCAGGTTAGGAATAACTTCTTAATTAAAGACACTCTTGACTTTTTTTTTTTTGCAGTTGTAACAAAGCTTTGGGGCAAAAGTTGACAGAATACAACTAAAACTTAGGTGCCACAAGAGTGAAAGAATTGCAAACAGGAGATTTGATAAAGAAGAGCTCATTTGTTTTGTTAGCCATGGAGAATCTCCCTGGTGAGACAGGGTCCAGAGCATGAAACAATGAGGTAGAATGGTAAGGGGAGATAATCTGCTCAGTTGGGCCCTTTAAGAGGTTTTGTCCTTTAATACCACATTCCGTATGCAGATGAATGATGCCGTGTGCCAGAAAAGTAAAGCCTTCCTTTCAGTTCTTACTTTCTGATAGCATGTAGACACATAGATTTCTGCCTCTACTTGTGTAAAAATTGCAGCCATTTTGGCTTATATCTTTTGTCTCAATGCAGCAGGGACTTGCAGAATAGACATTACTTCTCCCAAATCCCTGAGGGGGCTGATCCAATTAGCTGTACTCAAAATGTGGCAACATATATTGGAAAGATTGGCCTGCAAATAAAACATAGCAGCCATGGGAACATTCTCTAAAAGAACAAGGCTATCACTGGTAGCCAGATGAAAACCTGGTGAGCATGTCATTTTTTTAAGGACTGTATGTTGCCCACATATATTTACAAGGAAATGTAAAAAGGGTGTAGTAATTAGTTTACTGCTTTGTCAGAATTTAGTGTCATGTTCCATAGAAGCTAGGGTTTTTTTCTTGATAAAATTATCTTTCTGTATAAGCAAAAAAAGCACTTTTCTCCAGCCAAGTTTACATAAATGGGTTAGCAAAATCATTTAGCTGGTATTTTCCAAGTAATTCAGCCTGAGCCTGACAGCCAGCATAGAAAATTTCAGCCCAAACTATTAAAATTTGGTGTAGCTGTAAGAACAGAAAATAATATATCTCATAATGGTAAACACCTGCCAGGCCTTATAACAGGCAGTTCTACCAGTTCAACACATACATAATGTGTGAATTTATACATCTGACTATGCATATACGGAAATACATATGGGTTGATATATATATATATATATACACAGTGTTTGATTTTCAAAGTATTAATATAGGTTTATATAGGACAGTTTTCACTTTCATTTTAATTATCCTGGGATCAAACCCACTGCTATTAGGTATGAGGACTTTCCACCTGCAGAAATAGTAAGAAAGTGACAATAGTCTCAAAACAGGTTTTTGATGAACCAAGATGTGAAGATTTGCAAAAATGCAGAACTGAAGAAGGCTGAATGTCAGGTTACTTTTCTCCACAATTAGTACTAATTTTATTTATTCATGAATGTTGTTAATAAAATATGTAGCAAGGGAGAAGAACACTTCATTTACTGGCTTCTACTGTAATTAAAAGATGAATTAGCAAACACCACAGATTTATTTTTCTCACTTGTAACAGAATATCTTTAGGTAACGGTGTCCCTGGTGAATACTTTCTTTGAGCTGCCTGATAACAAAGTGATACCTTCTGGCAGGTGAGTGCAACCTGCTATGGCCCCTGGAGAGCTATGCCTAAGAGTGTTGCTGCTGTTATCTCCAAAGCTTCCCCAAGCTGCCCCTCTGTCTTCTAGTTATTGTTCCCACACTATTGAGCCTATTGGGAAGAGGTCACTCAAGTTCCTTACATCAGTTTAGAAGGATTTCAATGGCAAACTTAAGATCACTTCTGCATCTACCAAACAAAACAGAATAAAGTGATCAGTGAGCATTATTAGTTGCTATCCCTAGGAATCCAGGGGATTAAGAAGAGAAGTAAAAGACTTTTAGCTCTGTACTATAATTGAAGGAATAAAAGCAAGTACCTTTCAATATCACAGTATCTTGATAGTGATATTGAAAACTGTCTCCAGCACAGTCCATGACAGTTCAATGCACATTCTTCACTAAGAACTGTTCAACCTTGTTTATGTCTTCTGCACAACTTTTCCTCAGTCCTGCTACGTTACCTTAAAAGAATTTTCCCCCTCTGCTTCAGGTCCCCTGGTGAACACATTTCTCTAGTGGACACACTTATACTATGGAAGAAAAAAGTGACTATCCTTCCTCCAGCACTGTAATTATTCTTTGAAAAGCCAAGAACTTACAACTTTAGTTCTAATGCTGTTTCATTTGGTTTGTTTTAAATCTTTTACAGTCTTTGTTAAGCATTCGTGGTTCTCTGTTCTCACCAAGACGCAACAGCAAAACCAGCATTTTCAGTTTCAGAGGTCACGCAAAGGATGTAGGCTCTGAAAATGACTTTGCTGATGATGAGCACAGCACTCTTGAAGACAATGAGAGCAGAAGAGATTCTCTCTTTGTTCCAAATCGACATGGAGAAAGGCGCAACAGTAACGTTAGCCAGGCCAGTGTGTCATCTAGAATGATACCAGCCCTTCCAGTGAATGGGAAGATGCACAGCACTGTGGATTGTAACGGAGTGGTTTCCTTGGTTGGAGGACCTTCAACTCTAACTTCACCTACTGGTCAGCTTATACCAGAGGTAATTGTAAGTAAGCCAGTATTTATTACAGTTTGGTTCAGGCACAGAATTTTCTCTTATTCTTCATCTCTGCATTCCTTATAATTTCTTAAAGAAATAATTTGAAATAGTTTCTAAATAAGAGAAAATAAAGGAAAAATAGTCCTCAACCTCCTATGTCTAAAGTATGATATTCTTCTTGCTTTCAGCAAGAGATCTACACACAGAAAAAAAGATTAATTGAATTTGACAATTTGCATATAGTTTCACTTCAACAAAGTAGATATTCAATATATAAATAAGGCTATAGGTTGGAAATATGTATAGGAAAACTCCTTTAAAATTAAACAAAAGTGGCTACTACTCTCATGTGAGTTATTAGAAAAACCCATTCTGAATTCTCAAGGACTTTTTTCTCTTTCATGAAAAAAATATGTATAATTCCTATGTACCTTTGAAATTACATTTTAGTCTTAGTTTCAGACTTCTGTAAACTAAGATGTTCTTTCAAACATTCAAATATGCAAGCCTTTTTCATCTATAGTATTTTTTTTAATTATTATAACTATTTATTACTATTAGTATTATCAAGGAGGTACCAAGCAAAATTTTTGTTCATCCAGTCGTTTAAATGTGAACCACATTTGGTCCCACACTATGTTGGGTCCTGCAGTTGATTTTTTGTACCACTGTACAAAATTCCCACTGAGCTCCTCAATAAAGAAAAAAGAAATCCTGACAAGAACAGAAGCATTCAGTGAAAAGCAGAGTACATTGCTCAAAGCTGATCTCACTATCACTACAATATTTATGCAGTAAATATGGTTAATTGGTTGTTGAAAAGTATGATCTAATTCCTCAGTATTTCATTTACAGGGCACCACTACAGAAACAGAAATAAGGAAAAGAAGACTGAGTTCATACCAAATTTCCATGGAAATGCTGGAAGAGTCTGCTGCAAGACAAAGAGCAATGAGCATAGCCAGCATACTTACAAATACAATGGAAGGTATGTAGTGCATTTTATCTGACAGGCCATTCAGTGAAGTTCTGTTAACTACATGTACAGAGAAAATATTTATATCAATTTCTTTGTAAATGTAAAACTGGCATGTGGAGTCTCTGAACATCAGATACAAAAGGCTTTTGAGCATTTCTAAGGTCAGTTACACAATCTGAATGCTTAACCATGTTTCATGACACCTTCCAAAATATTACGCTACCGAGTGGACTAATAGAGATAAAATGATGGTATCTAGGGGATTGCCAGAGCCTCAAACAGAAAATATAGGGATCTTTTTTTTTTTCCATTAGACATCAGCAGGAAAAATCAATTAAGATAACCCAGGAACTGCCACAATAAATGCAGTGATGTGCTAGAACAGTCATTTGCCTTAGGCTTAAAATCCAAGGATAGACAATAAGAAATTGGAATGAAAAATATAAAGGAAAAAAATCCAAATGTAATCAACACATGCTGATGCCCACAAAGTCTCTTATGCATTTCTTAAATTTTCATAGTTATGGAATTTATAAAAATATTCCATAAATAAAAATATAAAGAAGCATACTTTTGGGGATTTTTTTTTTTATTTAACAGAAACTGACTATGCTCACTCTTCATACATATACCATTGAAATATATTTATAAGCTTGAAGGATCTATCTACTGGATCATGGCAAAGTGTGGCACGTGTTACAGTCAGACCAACCTTGCAGATTCAACATATATTCTAAAATGAAATTACCAAGAAACTTTACAGTGTTATTAAGCCAGTACTGAAATATAATTTTAAAGTGAGTTCTGAAGTTCTTTGCTCTCACATAAACAAGTAGATCACAAACTAATTGTAGTCAGAAATTATATCTTGTATCACCTCAAGTATTAGTTTTTTCTAAAGAAAATTGTTCTCACTAACTTCTATCTTCCCTGCAAGTGTGAGCTGTTGGTGCCTCTTAAATCTTGGTTCTCCTCTCTGTAAACAGGATATCTCCTTAGAGAGTGCTGCATTCTGCTTCCAGTTAAATAGTTTGTCCCTCCTGTCTCTTGACTAGAAAAAAACATGTCAATGTAAGCAAAAATTTCCTGACAGTTCACCTCCTTACCCATATCTGGTTTCCGCCATTTCAGGAATTGCTACGTTCAGCAACAGAGTCTGTGTCAACTCAGCACCCAGTGTGAGTGGTCACTTTTGTCAAGGCTGGTGCTATTCTGCCTCTCAGCATTCTGAGTTGCATGTTCAGAAATGTGATTATACCAACCGATCCTTACATTCCTTCAGACGTACTGTCTTATGGTTTATAAAGACTATAGAAAGCTTTAGCTACTTTTGATAGCTTTTTCTGCCTGGAGAACTTGTTGGTTTCAGTAGTTTGAAAGCTTTCAACTTCCAGTAATTCCACCAACATAGGACAATATAAAAAGCAGAACTCAATCCACTATCCTCAAAGTGTGTATTTTTGCAGCAAATCTTCATTAGAAAATCTGTGAAACAGATACTGTAGCAAAATCATCCATACGTGTTATGATGATAGAGATCTCACTGTGCTCTAAGGGATGCCTAAAAATGAGAAATTTCAGACAGGTTGATACCACTATACAAAATATAATCAAAACTCTTGTGGACATTTCTTATCTATTTTGTAGTCTAATTATTTCTCACTTGAGCAATCAACAATGTTCCTTCTACACTGACCTTGAACATCCCATCGCATTAGATATTCATCCTTGTTATTATTAACTTAGAAGAAGTTTATTCTTCTGCAACTTGACAATATTGACAGTGGAATGGAAGAAAAAATAGTTTCCAAAGATTCTAATTGAGAGCAGTTGCTAAACAGTTGTTTTGCTAATACAGATATATGTTCTGGTTTTCAAAGCAAATTAAGTTGAAATTTAAAAATAAGAAAACAGGCATAGTCATTTGTCTCAGATGATTTACTCTTTAGTATTTTACACAAGAACTTCCAGAAGATACATTTGTAATATTATTTTTTTCTATTTTTTTTTTCTATTTTTTTCAGAGCTTGAAGAATCCAGACAGAAATGCCCACCATGCTGGTACAGATTTGCAAATACTTTTTTGATCTGGGATTGCTGGAGTCCATGGTTAAAAGTAAAGCATGTCGTCAATTTAGTTGTGATGGATCCATTTGTTGATCTTGCTATAACTATTTGCATTGTTTTAAATACCTTGTTTATGGCCATGGAACATTACCCAATGACAGAACAGTTTAGCAGTGTCCTTTCTGTGGGGAACCTGGTAAGTAGTTTGTCATTAACTACTTGATGTAAAAATACCCTTTTCTACAATAAGAAACTTATACATGTATTGTGTTTGTTTAAAACTATTCCAGAATGTCTTTTTATAATCAGTTTAGAAATGGTATTTGTGATTTTCACAGGTAAAGTGATTTTTTTTTTTTTACTGGAGCCTTTATCATTCATGAATATATGTTTTTAACTGCTATAATGGAATATGTGTGGAAGTTCAGTCTTCAGTGGAATGCAAGATTTCTTTATATCTACCTTGGGTTTTTTCTTTCAAATGTTACGGTAGATTATGCTCTTTTTACCATGGTACTGATACAGCATCACAGCAAATACTTTTCTTCTGTACAAAATTGACAAAATATTTAAAGTCAGAATTTCTCTTGGAATTTTTTTTCAATTACACTACAGTGAAAATATTTTTACAAAAAATGTATGCTCCCGAACTTCTGTTGTGCTGCACAAACCACTGATCACTACGCATTGCAAGAAAGTGTTGAATTAAATTCTGGACTTAAAAACACTGAGATGCATTGATAATTTCACATTTGGCATTTGGAGATATTTCAAATAACATTATCAACCTGAAGTTCATTTTCCTAAAAGGAAATAGCCATCATGCAGCATGGTAGCTATGTGTGAAAACTCTATACTCTTACAAAAAGCACAGGACATGAAACTCCAACTTCCCATGTCTACAAGACAGACTTTAGAGAGTCTGTGCTTAGACAGTCTGATGTTAGAGACTCTCATCTTTTCAGACTGTAAGGGAAAATACTTGCTGTCAAGTCTTCTTACTGGAACCATACTCGTCAAACAGACTTAAAGCACCAGGTCAAATCACATCATCTGCAGGGTGGACAGTCCTGAACATACCAGGAAGCTGAACTGCTGACTGGTCAATAGCTTTTTATATGTTTATCAAACCTCTTTCCTACTATAAATCCTGATTTAGTTACTAGTTTTCAGTGTTTAGAAATACTTAGATACCATTTGGAGATAGCAATCAGATGTTTTTTATAGTAACAGGTAAGAGAACTCATTGGATTAAAAAAAAATCCTCAGGTATATAAATGTGTCATAACAATTCATTACATTTTGTTTTAGGTATTCACTGGGATATTTACAGCAGAAATGGTACTAAAGATTATTGCCATGGACCCTTATTATTATTTCCAAGAAGGCTGGAATATTTTTGATGGTATTATCGTTAGCCTTAGTTTAATGGAGCTTGGTCTTGCAAATGTTGAAGGATTATCTGTTCTTCGCTCATTCAGACTGGTAAATACCTTGACAATCAAATATTTGCATGCAATTATCTCACTCAGAAAATAAAAGCGCTGGTGCCTGCAGTAATTACCATATTTTATAAGTATATATAACATATTTCAGTGACTTGCATTATTTTTCATATGTGCCTAATTTGCAAGCTATAGTTGGTAAGTACAAGTTTAAGGTGTTTGATACCTTTTAGTATCAAATTATCCTATTGATCTTCTATCCAACTGATGTCCTTTGCCAACAAAACATTAACTGCTGTCTTTTAACAATTCTGCGAATCTTTACACTGATTTCATTAATAATATAAGCTGAGTATCTGTGAAAACATACATATTGTCACCAGCACAAAAAATCATAATATTTTTAGTCTTTATATTGTGAACATTACTTTGTGTTACTTGTAAAGAACTTAAGCAGATCCTCTTTTCACATTTATTTTAAGTGGCACCAACAATAAACTTCTAGTCACTCCATTAAATGTAACAGAGTTGTAACAAGTGGACTCTAAGATAACATTTAAATTGAAATATTATTCAGCTTCTATTAGAAATGTATTTTTTATAGCAACTAGTATTGCACAGAAACTAGTTTGAAACTAGTTTATAAATATGTTTACTAGAGGTACAAGATTAATGATTTAAAAGCCTTTATTACCAATAGATACTACATTACTTGAAAACCTTATGTCCTAATACACAGAGCAGGAAGAATTTACTTATTTAGCATTACTTACAATGGTACCCAACTTCACATAACCTAATAGTTTGGGTATTGAATATTATTTTTAAACTAATGTTTACTATTTGAATGGACATTGCATTGTCTGCATCAAGTTTTTTCTTAAAAAATTGGCCTCTTTCTAAGCATGGAAGGCCTAATGTGGTGCTAAGGGAATGAGGAGCTAAACCAGCAAAGAAGGTGTAGTGACGGTGAAGAAAAGTGTAGAAACTTCTTAAAATGTCTAAGAATTGTTCAAGAATCACCTGTAAGTGGATATTTAAAAACAGCAAAAATAAAAGGTCATACAAACACAAATTATTACTTTTTTTACTATGTGCATCACTGAAATGAAATGATAAACAATGCATTTTTGACAAATACTCCATGTTCCTTGCTTTATATTAAAATAATAATGAAGTACTACTGAAGAACAAATTAATCTACAGAAATTGGTATACTCTGCTAAACAACTTGGACCTAGCTTCTATTTTGTAGCTAACACTAGATGCATAACATATTCATATGGATTCTTCTTTTGCAGCTTCGAGTTTTCAAATTGGCAAAATCTTGGCCAACCCTAAATATGCTAATTAAGATTATTGGCAACTCAGTGGGAGCTCTGGGGAATCTGACCCTGGTGCTGGCCATCATTGTGTTCATTTTTGCTGTGGTTGGGATGCAGCTCTTCGGGAAGAGCTACAAGGAATGTGTCTGCAAGATCTCCAGTGACTGTGTGCTCCCTCGCTGGCACATGCATGACTTTTTCCACTCTTTCCTGATTGTATTCCGAGTGCTGTGTGGAGAATGGATAGAAACCATGTGGGACTGCATGGAGGTTGCAGGCCAAACCATGTGCCTTATTGTTTTCATGCTGGTCATGGTGATTGGAAACCTAGTGGTATGTGATGAACATTTTCTTAACATTAACTGTGATCTAAAGGTGCAGGATTTACAGCTAGGCAATGAAAATGTTTGTCATCCTTCTACTTAGAATTAAAAAATTAATCTGAATGTGCTAAGATTTAGGTAAAAAAATTTGAAGATCCCCTTTTCCTCTTTTTCATACATTTCTATACACTGAAGTACTCTTACAATGGGTACAAGCATTTAGAAGGAAACCAAAATGTCAACTCCAACATCCTATCATCAGAGTGCTGCAGCTAATTTAGAGGTGCTGTTTAATTTTTAGTACTGAACTTTTTGGATTGTTTACATCTTAAAAAAAAATGAAACCTACAGTGATTTGTCATCCAGCTTAAAATGGTGTTAAAAAGCTTCTAACTCAAGATTGTTCAAGAAACCTTCATAGAAAAGTTTAAATTCAAGCCAACAAGTTAAAATGGAAAATTTCAATTGGAAAATATTGAATTGATGAGAACTTCCCAGAAATAAGTGCTATAAAAGTGATGCACCATTTACACTTTAAGTTTCTTCTCCTGTTAAAATTTGCAGGCAAAATTTCCTGTCTTTAGTGATATTTTTAGCATGATTTAAATTTTTATAAAATAGAATTCAGAATGTTTGTATCTTAGTCATGTACCTAACCTTGCAATCTTGACATTTTACCAGCAAAAATGTGCAGAGCCCCAAAAAGTTATTTATTATCCACAACCTGCTCTACTGATTTTTTTAGAATCATAGAATCATTTACATTGGAAAAGGCCTTTGAGATCATCAAGTACAACTGTTAACCTAGCACTGCCAAATTTAACACTTCTGATATGATTGTATTTACTACATAGCTGTATTCTCTCATCTTGTAGGTATTGAACCTATTTCTGGCCTTGCTGCTGAGCTCATTTAGTTCAGACAACCTTGCTGCTACCGACGATGATAATGAAATGAACAATCTCCAGATTGCTGTGGCAAGGATTCAGAAAGGCATAGATTATGTTAAAAAAAAGATACAGGAGTTCATCCGAAAAGCCTTTGTTAGAAAGCAGAAATCTTTAGAAGAAATCAAGGCACTTGAAGAGCTAAACAACAAGAAAGACAGCTGCATTTCCAATCATACTGCCGTTGAAATAAACAAAGATCTGAATTATCTCAAAGACGGGAATGGAACCACCAGTGGTGTAGGCACAGGCAGCAGTGTGGAAAAATACATAATTGATGAAAATGATTACATGTCATTCATAAACAACCCAGGCCTCACTGTGACAGTGCCCATTGCACTTGGAGAATCAGATTTTGAAAATTTAAATACAGAAGAATTTAGCAGTGAATCTGATATGGAAGAAAGCAAACAGGTAGGATTTTTCATATCTTAAGTGTTAAATTGTAGTCATATATTGATATGTTTTAATTAAAAATTTAGATTTTTTTAAAAACTGTAATATCCCATGTATATTTCATGTTTTAGAATTTAATATATTTTATGGTTTAGAATTTTATGTATTACCACTCAATAAAAAATAATGGTATAGTAGAGGATCCTTAGCATTTACATTTTTAGTATTTTGTTTATTAAAATTTGAAAGATATTTGATTTTAAATATTCATATTTCTTTCACATTTTTATGAGGTTTTAGGACTAGCAAACACTTGATAAAGCATTCTTTCTGTAGTACCTACATGTGATAAGAATTTATGGAATAAAAATAAAAGGCTAAGGAACAATACCAAAGCAAACATAAGTGGAGAAAAAATATTATTTTCAATATTTATGGTAGTTCTAAAAATTAGCCCTGAGATATCACAAATCAGTAATGTATTCTAGATTATCTAAAAGTTTTATGAGTAATATTTGTACAGATTTTGGGTTCAGAGACTATGGCTGGCTGAAATAAAGTAACTAGGTATTGAATGTCATGGTAAAGCAGCAGCTCGAGTTATCCTGGAGAGCAGAATGATCTTGTAATATAGATGCATGCAGAAACAGCTTACTTCAAGGCTTTCTGCTGTTATTTTTGTGCAAAGTGACAGAAGTTGGTCTAAAAAACCAATGCATGTGTTTCAAAATGTAATTGGCTCAAATACCAGAAGTGATCATATACAGGTGCTAATAGTATTCAAGGAAAACTTTGTATATTGGGGTAGTGATCAATGACAAGCTAATAAATGCATTAGCAAAATATAATTATATTTAGCACCATTAGAAATTTAGGAACTTTGAGGTTTAAGGGATCAGAAACCATGGATAAAGTTGTTTTCAATTAGATTAGAAACTGTGATTTTATGTAATAACTCATTAGGCCAAAGGGGTTTGTTTACCATGAAGAAAGCTCTCCTACAAAAAAGCCCTACATTCATGACTTTATCATAGCTGTGTATCTGGCATATTTGCAATAATGATGTATTCCTCAGCACTATCAAACTTCGCCACATTACATTAATGCATAGCCGTGAGCCAGTTAATCATGGTATGGGATTTTTGGTAAAGAACATCAAGATTTGTGTTTATTTGCAGCTGCAAAA